ATAAATTATAGTGGGTAGCAATAAAACATGCATATGTAGATGAACGTTGACCGCTAAATCCATAAGAATGACACAATTATTTTACGATTAGTAGAAAGCAAAAGACGTGACCAGATTGTGTTTTCACCAACACTGTTTATAGTAGTTGTAACGGGAATAAAAATTATACTATTATCATCATCATCATCATCATTCAGCCTTATGTGTTTAAAGTTGAACATAGACCTCCCCTAATTCCTTACAGCTCTGTCGGTCTTGAGCTTCTTGCAGCCAATGTCCAGCGATTATTTTGACGTCATCTTTACATCGTGTAGGTGGTGTAACTCTGCTTCTTTTGTCAGCTCGTGGTCTCCACACTGTAATTTTTTGGGTCCGCCGCCCGTCATTCATTCTGGCCACATGGCCCGCCCAGTTCTACTTCAGCTATAGTATACGCTCTAAGACATCTCTGGCGCCCGACCTTCTAATTTCTTCGTTTGTAACTCTGTCTTTGGGCTACTCTGAGTTTGGTTGCTGTAGCCTGGGCTAAGGAAAGTATTTCGGAACCATAAGTCATGACTGGAAACAAATTGGTCGAACGTCTTCTTTTTCAAATAATTTCGCATGTTGCTCTTGAAGATGTCTGATAGAGCTTTATACGCGGCCCATGTTAAAGTGATTTTTCTTTGCAGTTCAGCAGTTTAGTTGTCCCTAGCAATTTGGATTTCAAGGCCTAAGTATTTATACAGTGTGTCCAGAAACTCTCCTGACAAACGAAGACCAGAGGTTCCTCAGATAATTTTAAGACAATTTAACTCAATTCACCTAGTCCGAAAATGCTTCCTAAGGGAGCTAGAACTCTTTGAAGATGGCGCCTTGTAATTAGTTTTTTTTAATACCTCCAGAACGCTTCTTTTTAGTTAGAAAAACGAAAACTGGTAAGATTATTTATCATCGAGTTAAATCATTATTTATCATCCATAGGCGTCGGTTTTGGTTAGGTCAACGGTTGTTTTATTTCATAACTGTTATTTTGTCTTTATCTTTTAAGTATTCGTGATACTAGATTATTAAAGTTTTAGGTATTCTAGTACTAAAAGGTACTCTTACTTTAAGTCCTATACTATGTAAGTATATCTTCCTAACTTCCTCATGTTAAAAGCTCATACAAATGTTAAATTCTTTCCGAATGTGTGTATATAAATACTTTGTCCAAGGCTTCTATGGTGCTCCTTCAATTTTTTTCTGTTCATCGCCAACGTTTTAGTCTCCATCTCAAATCTCTACCGATAGCAAAACTATTAGACATATGCCCCTCTACCATTAAGTTACCCCTTGTCTCTTTTAATTCGCATTTAACTTGCTGTATAATTTTTCTTTAATTCAAAATATTTTATTTTTAACCTAGAACTATATACTATGGTTGAAGTGTCCACTATGTTTATTTACAAAATTTTCCTCAACACTCTTCGCTTGTTGATCATTTTTTTGTCTGAAAATCTCGTTTTACTTCTTTTTTATTGATCATATATATTTTTTTTTGCTGTAAATACTATTAATGTTCATTTGATTCATTCTAACTTGTTCTTATTTAGCTCTTCTACTGCCTTACAGCAATTCTTATCGATTCAATTATTGTCTTGTTCGTTATTGGTACTACCGATTAGGCGGTATTCAGTATTATATTATTTTATCGCATTTATGTGTCTTCTATATCGTCCGTTGGTCTGAGGTCCTAGTCCTTTTTCTGTTAATTTCATAAATTTATTTTGATTTCCTCCTTTTGTAGCTCTCTGCTATGATATATATGGCTTATATTAATTTTTGGTCATTGGTTTGAAGGAATCATTTGCCTTATCTTTACCCTGACTAAGAAGAACACAAATGTTCATAGTCAATATTGATTGTACCTTGAAAGTAAAAAAATATTCACATGCCGTTTAAATTCACATTTAGAGCCGTGTATAGATTAGTATTTATAAATGGAAAACTTTAATGAAAAGTAGCCAACTTTCGTGCTTTTGTCACTAGTATTAGCTTAATAAAGTATACTTGGAGTACTTCTACTTTCAGAAAGTTGATAAAAACTTGTATGCTAATTACCGATCAATTAATACTAATTATACTTCATCTAATTTAGATAACGACTTACGTCATTATCTAAGTCAGAGATCGAAGTTGACATAGTTGCCAAAGTATAAAAAAATCCTGACTCCATTTTAAATCAAATAGGTCACATAATTATTGCAAAAGTATTACCATCTCTTTACAACGAGTATTTAACTTCTTACGTGACATTTTTGAAATAAAACACACTAATTTTGTTCTAAAAAGAACAGATTTTATTAAATAGGTAAAAATATAAAACCAGAGGTATTCACTTTAAAATTCAAAATAACCAAGTACGAAAAGTGTCAACACCGCAACTGTCAAATAAGTGTTACCAATTTATGCCAAAATTTTACCTTCGTTCGATTACAGTTACAGTGTGTTCCGAACAAATGTTCTTGATAAAAACTCTTTATAATGGATTTATACAAATTAAATGAAACATATTATTGTGTATTTCTTTAAGTTAACGTTAATAGAAATTATTAAATATTATTTCTACGCGTATATAACAAAATATGCTTAGTGGCTGTAATGCCAGTGAACTCGGTAAAGTGATTCTAAAAAGAACACACCTAAACCCTAAATATTTCGTGTTGGTATCATATGACGTCACAGGCTATGACGCCGATGACGTGTATCGTTATATAAATTAGATGAAGTGTATTTAGAACTAACAAACAAAACAATAAGGAAATAGCAAAACAGCAAAGAACAACAGTAAAACTATATAACTATATTAAAATAAATTGTATCATTTACTATACATGTTAACTACAATACGTAAAAATTACGTATTGTAGTTGACGAATTTTACCAAACTCAGTAAATTACTTAAAGACCTGTGTTGTTTTGAATGTTGCGACAACTTCCTTTTCTGTTTTACTTTTTGCAAATTTTTTCCATAGTTGCCATTAACACTGGATTTATTCTCACATGTTCCAGTTCTTTTTAAACTTGTAACATTGACACATTGTTATTAATGTGTTTTTAGGTCCCCCAAAATCAGAAGCTTTCTTCTTTTTCTGCACGTTTATTATGCGGTGAATGTGAAAACATATTTATGGTGTATTATTGGACTTCTGCTTGATCTTACAGTTTTTTAGTGTATACTGAATGGTAAATAGGTAAACACCTACATATATGTATCCGATTCATATATTTTTGGGTATACATATTCAGTGTCCTTACTAGAAAAATTATTAAATTTTCAACGTAATTCACCAATTCTTATACACTTGTTGACACGCCTAGGCATCGCCAAGTGTGTGTGTGTATGTGTGTGTGTGTGTGTGTGTGTGTGTGTGTGTGTGTGTGTGTGTGTGTGTGTGTGTGTGTGTGTGACGCTCTGTCTCCAAAATACAGTGAACAGTGTTACATTTCACAGTTCTATGGTCTTAAAATAGTTGGTACTATATCCTCTAGGAAAGTAATTCAATAAACTCTCCCCAAACAATTAGTAGACATTACGGCAAAGTTTCCATCATCAGGCATGTTCAATTTGAGACAGATCAGGCGATCGTGGTGACCAAGGTAAATAAGTTGACGTGATGTTGATCCACAAAGGCTAAGGATTCTTTGTCAACATGTGGTATGGCATTGTCTTGTTGAAAAATCGGGTTTTCGATAGTCTTTATGTATTGAGATAAGACTTAACTACTTCCTCAATATTACATCAGACTGTCATATTCACTCTGATAAAAATTAGTGGTGATCTGCTACCACGTCTTTCACCACGTTGCATTCTCACTCTTGCTTAACTATCGTGCATCGCCAGACAGAAGAGGGATTCGTCACTAATGACCACCTGATTCCATTCCCGGTTCCATAGATTTTTTCTCTACACCAGAGTTACGCCGTTCAGCTGTGAGAGGTAGCACCCAATGTGGTCGATAAAAAAAGGCGAAGCTGTTGTGTTCTACGATATCCTACGCATTTCAGTCATCCTTCCATGCTCTTCACAACACTGATTTGCGATGGTTGGAGTACGACTAAAAGTGTTTCTTAAAGCCCGAAGTCTTAATCGGCGATCTTGTGGTTCTTTGATCCCTCTGTGATGTCCAAAACCCGTGGCTTGGTTTCCTGGCACTGCTGAGTCCACATTCGACCCTTCTCAAAGTCACTTAGTTATGATATCCTACGAATTCTACGCACTCTAGGCAGTTTGAGCAATGAAAAAGGCTTCTCAATCAGTTACATAAATTTTAAAATTCTCACCAAACAATGGGCGCAGCCACCACAAAAACTTAACAGATAAACCTGAAAAGTTTGTCTTTCAGAGCAAGATAAGTCTATATGTAAAAAATGAATTAATTTTAATAAACATATGTAGGTGTTTACCTTTTTTGTCACTTAGTATATGTTCCTACTTAGGTTTGGTACTGCACTGGACTATAATCTGTATAGTGACGTTATTAAAGTAATCCTTTTATATAGAGTACAAGGTTATTGGACGTTTTTAATGAGTCATTTGACAATATAACCAGCATAAATTACATATAAATCAATACGAAACTTTGTGTATGAATGCCGTACCTTACCGTCAAGTTACCCAAAATCGAGAAACAGCTTTACGCTAATAAAAAAGTTTCCGGGCTCCTGGTAGCAATATTTTTGCGCATTAGATCATTATTTTTGTATTTCCTACCTAAGTTTATTAACGCCGTACAAAAATGTTTCCCCAAAAAAAACTTACCACCTTGAGTGGCTTAAGTAACGACATAGTTTCTAAAGTTATTACATATTGTAGTATCGTTTTATATGTGATTCATTCTGGGTCATATGACCCATTAAAAATCTACTATGGGCTTGTAGCCTAGAAGTTTTTAAGAATAGTTTTGTAATTTTTTATGTATTTTTTATGTTAATTTTTTTATTTTTTAATCATACACATATTATTATTTTATTTACAGGATGTTACAACCCATAGTACTCGCAGAATATATTAATTTTTTCGACAAAAAACATGGAATAAAGCCTAATGAAGTTGGGTGGCTCTTGGCATCTGGAGTTGTTATTATGGCGTTTTTAAATGTTATCCTTCTTCATAATACATTTTTAAATACTCAACGAGTGGGCATGAGAGTAAGAATTGCAGTGGGTTCCTTACTGTATCGAAAAGTAAGTTATTATTTATCATACATTTATTTTTTTTGCATTTTTATCATAAATTAAGAATATTTGTTAAAGCTAACAAACCATGACATAAAGATTTTGGTTCAGTTTTTTTTTATTTATGTACCCATTTTTTCATGAATTTTGCTAAAATTATGGACACTAAAAATTATTGCTATTTTGACATAGCTTTAGTGATAAATTTAAAAAGTCCTCTAGACTTCCTTTTTTTGTATACGATATATTAAAAATTCAACATGTGAATGTTTTCTTCTGAATGAAAATTCCTAAAACAATTAAAAGGTATATAGAGAAACAAAGAAATATTTTTCATTTTGGCATTTGACTTTGGAAGTTCCTTTACAATTAGGATATTTTTTCGTTCAAAATATGGGCCAATGGCCAATTTAATCGTGTAATTCTTCGCAAGAAATGCCTGCATTGTATTTCTTTTTCTTCTCCTCGTGTTCCAATGGATACATTGGAACTATATGGACGCCCTCTTTTAGAACAATTTACCTTATTTTTAAACAAAAGTTTTGTGAAATTTCTGCTTTGAATTCTAATAAAGGTAACTGTTCTTTTTTAACATTTTTAATGAATTGTAATTTCTTCTATATAAAAGCCATGCTTGAAAACCACAATGTCAAAAAAGAATTTGTGGTACCACTCCTTTCACCTGATCGTTATTCTATAAAAGCCAATAAGCAAATCTAGCAAACAGCGCCCTCGATACTCTTATTGTATAAAAGAATCGATAATGGACAATCTATATCAATATATTATTTAGATATGTGGTTCCATCTCTTCTTTTTGTCACATATATACGGATACCGTGGTTATCATACGTATACCATTGTTATCATACGTATACCTTTGTTATCATACCATTTTACCACAGTTAGGGGAACACCATCGATAATAGTTTTTTTGTTATTGAAATAAACCTCTCCCTTGTTTTTTCTTTTTTTTTTTTGTTAATTATAACTGAAAGGTGATGCTGTTAAACCAATAATTGTCAAAGTACAGGACTACATTACCAGCTGAACCAATATATTTATATTAAATGATGATGTTCTTTTATAGTATAAATTTCAAATTGATACATCAAACCAGAGGTATCAGATAAAACAAAAAATTTGTATTCTCATTTTTTCGCTTTTTCTAGTTGTACTGCTTGAGACTGCTTCATCCATTGAAAGAAACAATTTGCTTATCGATTAATAAAAAAAATTTAATTGGAATTGTATAAATCATATTATTTTATTCGATTTAGTGATACAACAGCCATATCTTGTATAATACTCTGGAGACTCTACATAAGGGGTGGCTACCTTAATCGGACTCGAGATCTACTGTCTACCTTTCTAATTCTTTGCGATCTACTGACTAGGAATTTTTTAACGATGCTGCGAGCAATAAAACTTTTAATATAGAATTTTAACGTTAAAAGTGAGCTGAATATCTCAAAGTCGCTCACTATATCTCAGAAAATCAGTCAGTGATTCTCTTCTTCTTCTTTTTTTATGTTGAGATGACTCTGTCTGTTTTTCAATGTGCCTCCAGTAAGTTGTCGTTTCATCGTTTTTGTGGCCTTCCTAATGATGGTCTTCCTATTGGGCAACCATTTCTTGCTGTGTCTATTTGTTGTCATACGGCTTGTTACCAGTTGTTAATGTTCTCCACCTTGCATCTACGTCGTATATCTGTACTTCTAGCTCTATCCCATAATGTCTTACCATCAATTTTCCTCATCTCTGCTGTTTCTAACATCCTTTTTGTCCTCTTTGTGTCAGATCGTGTTTTTGCCGCGTATGTTATTATTGGTCTGTTGACTGTTTTGTAAATTCTGCCTTTCGTTTCTTTCCCGATATTTTTATTTCTCCATATATTTTCATACAGGCTGTATTTGTTCATTCACTTGATTTTCCACTTCGGCTTCGAGTTTTCGGTAGCTAGATAATGTGATGCCTAGATATTATTATTAAGTATATTAAACTCCATCATTTTTTTCTATTATTTGACCTCTCAGCTCAAATTTACATCTTGGTAAATTTGCTGTTGTATCCATGCATTTTGTCTTTTTGTGGGGAAATTAACATGTTACCTGGCGGTTATATTAAATTCTTGCAGCATACGTTGTAACTCGTCTTCACACTTTGAGAGAGTAGTAGTGCGTCGTCTGCATAGCAAATTTTTTTAAGTTGTTTTTCTCCCATTTGGTATCTTTTTTTAGTTCTTACTTTTTTTATTATTTCACCAAAAGGAATTCGTTCGGTATTCTGTGTTCTTCTAGTTATTTTCTATTTTTTTATTTCCTAAATACTTCCTTTACCTCTTCTTCCTCAATATTTATTTCTTCGTCTGTCGTCACATCTGGTGTTAATGGTTTATTATCGTCAACTTTAACAAATGAGGATCAAAAGTAGTCTGGCGGTGTTTCCTTTAGAATATGTTTAGTTTTTATTAGTTCGTTTCTCTTCCTCTTTTCTTTGTCCTCTGATCATTCTACATATTTCTTTTTTGTTTGTCTAACTAAACTATTCGTTTCATTTCTGATTCGTTTATAGTGGTTATCTGCCTGTTGTGTTTGTTGTGTTCTGTATTGTAAAAAAGGCTTTCTTCTTTTCTTCACATTTTGTCTTCACTTCTTCTCTAAACCAGGATATTTTCTTTTTTTGATATGTTAAGTGTTCGTTACTTTCCTCTCTCCAAGTGATTCTGTTGCTGCGTTAATTGTGTTATTTTTGTGTTTTCCCCAGCTTTCCTCTATGTTACCGTTTTCTAATATATCATTCCCAGCGATCTTTTCTGATATTCTTTTTCTGTATAAGTATTCCGTGGATTTCGTATTTAGTCCTTCGACTTTGATTTGTGTTGGCGCCGCTATATGGGTGTGAAGTATTTCAGGATGATTCTTATTTTACATAATACTAGGCGATGGTCGCTACCTACATCTGCTGAGTTGAGGCATCTTACGTCGATTATTTTCGATGGATGTATATCTCTGTTGGTAATAACATATTCTATCATAGATCTTTGTCCGCGGATGTTATTAAATGCATATTTATGTTGGTTTTTGTCTTAAAAAAATGTGTTGTTTATTCTATCTGATTATGAAAGACTATTTTATCAGCTTTCGAGATCTGAAAGACTTTTTAATGTGAAACTGATGCTTTGAGCGCTAAAATTCTGGAATAATTAGTTTTATTGGTCGCCAGTCTGTATTAGTAATACCTAAATAAAATAAAAGTATGAATTCTCAATTATTTATTTTTTCAACTTTATTAGACTGGAGAAAAAATAATTGTGAATCGCTCGCGATGATCGATGAAAAATTGCCAGCACTCCAATAATTTTCGTAATATTTAGAACAAAAATAGCAATCATAATGCCCACTCTGCTTGAAAAAATAAGTACGCGCATCTCGTTCTCGCAGACGGAATCAGCCATGTTTTAGTCGGAACCAGTGTTATTCAGTGACATTTTATCTGGTGTGCATAGACAAATTAACCCTGTTTAATTTGTTTACAGCAACTACAGACACAATGTGCACTATTTTAATCGTACTTTTAGTTGAAGGATAGATTAAATTATTTAAAATGTACTAAATTATTAATCTCTAAAATCATGAATTTGTTGCATGTGTGAGTCCATTTCAAATAGGTAAAGAAATAATAAATAAGACTTACTCACAATCAATTTAATTTAACTATACGACGACCGGTTTCGCTTTCTACAATATGCAAAGCATCTTCTAATAGAGTACCGGCACCATTTGTTTAACTTTGTACCGAGACCTGAAAATGCTTTGCATATTGTAGAAAGCGAAACCGGTCGTCGGATAGTTAAATTAAATTGATTGTGAGTAAGTCTTATTTATTATTTCTTTACCTATTTTAATCTCTAAAAATTTAAATTACAGTTCTGTCGTAGCTTGTCCAAATTTCTCAATTCGAGTCTATGATTCCTTCTAAAATATGGCGATCGCGTACAGACAAACTTCAGAGGCGGATCTGGGAGTGGGCATTCTGATTGTTATTTATTCTGTGCTTCAGGCTTATGCAAGCTATAAAGATTCGGGTGTTTTACTGATAATCAAGGCAAGCCACTATTAGGTATAAATGTAAAACTAGACACGTGAAAGAGATATGTGGAAATATTTTTTTCAGATGAACGGCGTAATACGGGTAACGGGAAACAAAATTCGATTCTTCGATTATCGATTTGATTCTATAATCGATTCGATCAGGATCGATAAACGATTCGATTCGATATTTGATTATATTCGATATTTGATTTGATTCGATTCCGACTCGATGATCGATTCGATTCGATGATCGATTCTGATTCGATGATCAGTTCGATAATCGATTTGATTAGTTAATCGAATGTTGACTTTCGCAAGCTCAATCGAAAGTTGACGAAAGATAAGCTGAATATTAAAAGCCAATATCTACTCTTATCAACGATAATGTTATATTTCGTTAGATTTCTCTGACATCTTTAGGCGAAAGGTAAATTAGTGTTACAAAATGGTGAAATTGTATAATTTATAAAATAAGATAAAACACTTACTTGTGTGAGGTTGCAGCAAAACGATGTGTAAAAAGTCTCGGGGTGTTCATTGTAGTGAAAAGAAAAAAAAGGACAAAAATCCTGTGTAGCTTTTTGTTAATTATACACCGCCCAGGCACAAAATATTAAACAATCAGGATGCCCACTCTCAGATGCCGCCTTTAAAGTTTTTCAGCACATGATCGCCATGTTTTAGAAGGAAACATAGAACACAGACTCGGATTGAGAATCACATTTGGTGTAATGCATCTTTATCGACATATATGATTTGTGAGGTTATGTGATTGTTTATATTTATGTTTAATTATATTATATTTAATTATATTATATTTATATTTATGGTATCATATTTAACAATGTTAAAATAATTGCATAGTATGTCTATGATTGCCGTAAGTCAATTATACCGGGTTAATTTTTCTATCACT